TCTGCAGGGTCTTGGATCTTTTGCATCCAACTCCTATCTTGTCACATGTGCCTATCTCCCAGGCAGTGTCACAAGTCTGTGGCTGGCAGAAATAAATGGTGTAAGAGCTGGCTCTTCTTGCTCTGCCACAGCCTGGGTGTGCAGCACTGTGGTAAACAGCAGCACTTAGGGCTTGCACACTGTTTGTAGCCTCAAAGGGCTTTGCAGGAGCAGCTAAGAATTGCCATCCTGCCTTTTCTCCAGAAGCAGGGTACAGATTTGAGCACCTGCCCACAGCAGTGCCACAATCCTTGTTGTAAGTGGAAATAAGCCCCGTGCTTCATAACTCCCCATAGGTGGGGTGTGGGGAATGTCCCACTCCCAGGCTGGCTCAGAGCAGCTCTGAGTGCCCCTGTGATGGGCAGCCGGGCACAGCCCCCAGCACTGCGGGACAGGCTGTCCCCATCCGGGGCAGCAGCTGGGAACTGAGCTCCAGCTTTGGCCCTCAGTCCATGAGCATCCCTGCCAGTTTGGCTGGGGGCTCCTTCTGCAGACACCCCTTATTTGGGGGGCTGGGGCAGCACCCCCTGCTCCTGCCCAGCAGCCGTGCTCACCCTGCTCAGCTGCACACTCCCCTCCTCCTGTCGTGCAAAAGTGGGAGATGGTAAGATCATAATGAACCCAGAACTGGTTAGAGAAGGGCTTTCCTGACCTGTCTGCCTGCTCCTCTCCACAGAGAGGAGATGCCTCTCTATTATTTTCCCAAAATTATAGAACTGGTCAACTGTTAAAATGTCAGATGACCTCCTTGTGATCATCCCACAGCCTCCCACAGCAACACTGAAAAGATAATCTGTCTTTTGCTCACATCCTCCATAAGATCTACATTTTCTTCCCTCCCTGGTGTCAGATTTTTTTCCAATATAAATTATATTAACTTTAAAATTCAAATATTGAAGTGATTTTTTTCTAAAAAGATTGAAACAATTTTCAACTCTTTTGATTATTCTCCCTTAGTTTTGGTATGGAATAATTTGCCAGATTGGACTTCGATATATGAATAATTATGGTTCTCTCAAAAGCACATTTTTTAAAAATAAATTCATTCCACACATAAAAATCATGCCCTGCTCTACCTGGAATTCTCTTGCCCACAATGCATACTATCCCTCTAGCAGTGACAAGCTTAATTAATATTCCTTTCTACCCTCATCCACTCCTCACCTCCCAAATGACCCCTCATGTCAAAACACATGCTGTAGGTATAAAGAAAATGCTACAGCCCCATAACACTGCATGGTGCAGGAGAATCTTCCTTTGGGGCAGAATTGACTAAGTTCCTTCTAAAGAGAGATGAAAAATCATGATTTCAAAGTTATTTAGAGTAACATTTACTTCAAAAGAACACACTTAATGGTGGCTTTCTTAGCTCAAGAGCTGGTCTGAGGTACATTTACAGAATGTAAACTCTGTGCACTGTAAACATGATGCAACAACACAGCTATGGAAGCACAGTTTGGGGGCAGAATAGGACCCATCTCATGTTTCTCAAAGGCATTACCTTTTCCAAGCTATGGGGGAGGCTCTGTGCTGGCAACATGAGTTCACTTCCTCGGTGGTACCACTTGGATGCCCCTGTTCAGTGGCCATTTCTCCACCCCTCTGGTTTCTCAGTCTGCCCCTGCAGGTGCTGCCCTCCCCGGCCAGTTTTCCCACCATGGACAGAAAACTGGGCAGAGCAGCACACAAATGGGATGGAGGGAGAGCCAGAGGCAAGCCATGGTTTCACACAATACAGTCTGAATGGTACAGTCTCTGGAACAGCCCGAGGTAGCCAATACCAAAGTAGATGCCATTGTGGGCATGAAGGAGGTAATGTGCAATTTGCTGCATCAGTAAAGATGATTTTCTGACCTTTTTTAGGTTATCCAAAAGGAGTTAAAAGTATAAGGATCACGTGCATATGTTTAACTAAGATACTTCAAGGCCATTATGCAGACACACTTGGATTTAAATACATCCTTTCCCACAGTAAACATCTGTTTTTATAATAAGGCCAGGAAGAACAATTACATCATCCAGCCTGACTTCCTTTATAACACAAACCTTTTTCAGTCAGACATTCCTGTGATTAAATAAGATTGTGTTTAATTAAAATACATCTAGGAATCTGTCCGTTCTTGATTTGAAGTCTTCGAGGCATGCAGGGTCTACCATATCCTGGTAGTTTGCCCTGATTTGTGCTAAAATATTAATTGCTTTGCCTACACAGAAGAGTTTTGAAAAACACTAGAGTTTGTTCACCTCAGGGACTGCCAACAAACTTGCATGTCCTGCCATAGCAAGAGAGAGAGCAGCACACTGAGCCAGAGCCCTCACACTGTTTAGTGGCCAGACCAGATCAGTGGCAGGATTTGCCTGACAGCAGATGGTGTTGCCCCAGTCACACATCCCAGCAAACATGCAGGAGGACTATCCCCATTGGGGCAGCAGGTGACAAGGAATCAGTTATCAGACTTTCTACACTCCTCTTCCTCACCCCCATGGTAGTGCCACAATGTCTCCACATCTCAGCAAAGCTGGTGCATTTTTCACCTGGGAGGTCAGTCAGTAATTCTGAAGTGCACCGACACACATGGCTCCGAATGGATGCTAAAAACATCACTGAGAGGTCCATTCCAGCCCCTTATCTTGGACTCAGCTAGTGAGGAAGGGAGGCTATAGCTGGAGGAAGTTCATTTTCCGCATGGGAGAGCTTGTATCTAATCTGCTGCCAAAGTTACCTGGAGCTGCCTGGCTACACAGCACGCAGCACAAAGCTGGAGAGATGAAACACAGCTGGTCCACTGTGGGCAAGTACCCTGTCACATGGCAAACAATGCTTTGGCATTGAAGATCTAGCAATCTGTCCTTCTGTCATACCTCATTAGTGATGAAACCTCAGCAAGGCCACAGAGGAGTGTTTCTGAACATGAAAGATATTGTTGGCTGCAGAATGGTTGTGGGAAGAAAAAACAGCTCTGGATCAAAACCACGAAATAGGAAAGCAGGTGTGCACAGACACAGCTCCTTTAGCAATGTCTCTGTCACAGGGATGGAGACCAGAAGTTCTGCACCAGCTGGTTCCACCAAGCAGGCTACCTGAGATTCACATGATGAGCTACCAGTGTCTGCTAAATGCACAGGCCAAAACAACATGCATGTCCTCTCTGTTTAGGAATGCAGACATTGTCCTACTCCTCCAAGGTCAGTGTAAACGTCAGGACACTGGAAGGCAAGGTGATTTTTATGATGGAAGTCTCCAGGTCCTGGTAGCTGAGGACCAACCCAAACACTAACCCACATATGCTGATCCCACCAGCAGCACCACCACAGAAGTTTCCTGCAGCGCACACACTTCTCATTTCCAGTCACTCTTCCCAAAACACCCATTTTCTGTAAGAGAGCCCAGTGGTGTCTCTGGTGAATGCACTCTTGCCCTCCTGGCCACAACAGCAACAGGATTTTGTATCAGACTGAACCATGTGACGGTCCCAAAATGCCAGATCAGCAGGGTTCAACCACACCAACAGATGGGTGTAAGTGCTCATGCAGATCAGCTGTGTCCTCCAAGTGCTCCCCAGGGCCAGGGCAGTTCCAGACTGGGAGGAAGATGCTTTATTTTATATTTGTTCAAGGGTCTTGTCCCAACAGGTATCAGATACCTGATGCAAGTGCACAGGCTTCCACTTTGCTCTCTCCAGACTTGATGCTCAAATTTCTTTGTGTTCTCAGCTCATTGAAGGGCTGTCACATGGAAAGCACAAGCTATTGAATGAATTTTACAGGGAGCCAGTGCAGCTGCTCCAGGAGAGATTTGGTCCAATAAAATTAGGATAAATACTTTCTACTTTTTTTTTTTTTTTCCCTAACAGGTTAAAATACTCCTGCTGCAGCCTGAGAAGAGGCTGCAGCATTAGGTGGGAGAATCCAGTAGCTGACACAGCTACTTTTGGTGTGTAAGCTGAACAAAAGGGGAAGAAACTATCTAAATAATGAGAAAAAGTGCAGTAGGTCAGTATAGCTCATCCTAACTAAGTGTAATTAGCAGGAGAAGGAAGAAAAAATAGCTCACCAATATTGTTTCACAATGTCTTTCAAGTGTTTGGGGACATTTCATTTTGCAGAAGAGTTTCAACCAATATAAACATGCCAAATATAATCTTCAGTATCCTTACCGACTTGTACCAGCAACATGAGTCACATGCTGCTCTCATAAATTTATATTATAAACCCACTTAAAACTATGCATAGAAAGTGATATACATCATGCCCAAAAAAATAATTATTCTGGGCTACTTGGCAGTTCAGGGAGTGGTAGGTTTTTAACCTTAAAGATGTATTTTTTAGAAAATATTTGATGTACTCATTCTCCTAGTAATCTCTTAAACTGTTCAAAGAGATTCAACTGCAATAATTTGTTTTTTCAATGTATGGTCTCACTTAAAATTTCTTCATTTCACATGTAAAGCTTTGTTTAAATAAAGTAGAACTGTTTCTCTTTAAATTTTTTTAATAATTATGAAAATTCTTCTTTTCATGTTAGGTTCAGTAAATTATTCTTTTCTTTAGAGCTGGGGAAGGTTTTTAGACAAATTATGTCACTGGCCAAAGATGCAGTTGTAGAGAATGTGGGGGAAAAATATTGGGAAATTTAGTTAGATCTTGATAATTACTTTTGTCAAAAAACAGTAACACTTTGGAAATGCTGAAAGCCCGGATTAGGCAATGCCCAGAAAATGCAGCTTTCAGTTGCAGAACATTTTAGTTTAGAAATTTCAAAAAATTAATCAAAGTGCTTCATTTGACCTTAAGCCAAAATTGTTCCTTTTTGCAACTTACGTAAGATTGCTTGGAAAGCTGACAATTTTTTGCTTTCTGTGATCAACTTAAGATGAGAATTTTTATTTTGTCCAATTTTCTGAGCTAAACAGAAAGTCAGTTGCATATATGTAAGATTTTTCACTCAGAATTTTCTGAACAAAAAGAATTGATGTGTCTGGAAGGTACTGCTGGCATTACAGTGGGACAGCATGCCTGAACACACTGAGTACCAAAGGCATTTCTAAGCATTGGAGTGTGTACCTAACAGTACTGCTCTTCCTTACACTTAAAACAGATTCCTAATGATCTGCCAAATCAGGGCATTTGATTCAATGAAGAAAGTGTCACCCCAAAAAGTTTTGATCAATGCTTCTCTTAGTGACAATGTGCTGTTCATGAACTGGGAAGTATTGAACTAAACACAACTCTCAGAGCACCCCTCTTAAGCACCCATGCATCTACAGAGTGGTTGCAGTAAAGAGATTTCCAGTCAAGCCTTTGAAGAGAAACACCTGGTGCTGCTCCCAGCTGAAGTACTCACCAATAATTCCTTGGGAAATATCTTACTACTTTTTCACTAAAAACAAAAGACTAAACAGAAAGCACAAGGCCACAAAATTGACTTCTCCGCGTTGGTATAACAACCCTCCCCCTTCTTCCATGGTGCATGTGAGCCTGTTCATGGCAAGCAGCAACCATGCACAGCAGTGAAGAGATTTCATCCAGATCATTGGGAAAGTACACAGTCCTAGCAGAGCCCAGGAGGTCTGGCATTAGTGACAGTGGATACCACAGATACCTCTTCCTGTATTTGAGTGTCCGTTCGTTTGGATGTGGGTCATGTCTTTGTGTTCTGGGTGGGAATTGTGTGCTGGTATGGCAACACCAGGAGCAAGGTGTTTCTTGACTGCTGGAGCTCCTCAGGCCTGGTAGCCAAAAGCTGACGCTCTCTCTCTGAGTAGCTCCTGGCACAAATGACAACTCCAGCTCCCTGCAAATGAAGAAATCCTTCTTATAGGAATGACATGAAACTCAGAGTTTATGTCAAGAATGGCTTGAATAATATATGAGATATTCCTAATATTGGAATTGCTTGTATTTTTGTGAAGCAGACTCTGCTGCCCTTGCTTTTGTGTCCATAGGCTTTCTACATGAGCTGCAATGCTCCTGGGGTGTGCATTGCAATGAGGTGTTTTATATTTTCACACTTCCAATAAACCACTTCCCAGTGGAACAGAAACCTTTAGATAGTTATTAGCTGCATTTCAAGATTTTCCCCTCCTGATTTAGCTTCCTTTTTACCAAAGTTACAAACATTAGCTCCTGAATGCATGATTAATTTGTAATTATTCTTGTCCTGCCCCTCATGTAAACCGCAGTCACTCGCACTCACAAGCCTCCTTCTCCAATTCTACTGCTCTCTGAGGATTTTAGTCAGAGAACCTCTAATGGTAAGAGACTGGTTCCTCTGCTCCACAGCCAAAGTTGGACAAACTCCAACCAGTCATAGTATAGTCCAATTGAACCCCCTGCAGAGGTCATAACTGCATTCCAAATGTAATACAGACCACAAAACCCTCACCCTGCCTAAACAGAAACATATCATAGAGCAAGGAAGGTAATGCCCTTTAATCCAGTCTCCTGCCAACAGGCTCTTAGGTGTTCCAGAGAGGACCTCCCTGTCTGAGGCTTTCCCTCCAGGACTTTGACTTCTTAAGAAGTCCAAAGTCACATTTCACAGGCGCTCAATTCAGTTGACTAAACTGAGGTGACCAGTGACATGTGGGACATCCAGAGGTACCCACGACCCACAAAAGAACCATGTTCTGGAAGAGGAGGAGACCAGGCAAGATTGAATAGGATACCACAGATCACGCTTCACATCTATTAATTTTGTTTCTTTCCAGTGCTACCTCCCTTTGCTTCGCAACTGTTTCTTTAACCCTGCATGGTTCAAAACACCTTTCTGAAATTTTTCCCTTCTCCACAAAGACTTTATTTTGACTTTCAAAGCAGACTTCAGTCATATGTTACCTTCTGGGGGCTCAAAGACTGGTGGATTCAAGCAATACATGTGATAGCCACGGTCACAGTCATCACAGAAGAGCAGCTGGTCCTGAGGCAAGTTTGTTGGAGAGACAGTAGGGAAACAGGGAGAGAAGGAGAGGAGAAGAGAGAAAATTATGTAAATTAGTCTCTTGCCAAGATGAAAACTTAAGTAGGGTAACCAGCATTGTTCAGCTGGGAATGCAGAGCTGCAACAACAGAGACTAAGAGACTGCTGGGAATGTAAAGGCTACAAACATCACTTTTGTTCATCCATGATTAGCCACCATATTCCTGAGAGGCTGCAGAAAGCCTCTCTCAGCACAAGACAGCTCAGTTTCTAAGCAGAAAATCACTGTGAGAAGTGGAGGAGTTCCAGTGCTAGATGGCCTCATGATGCAGGAGTAAAAGCTGTTATGCTGGGGATATGCTCTTCTGAGAGAAGAGGAGAGGCTTTGCTGGGCTCCGGTGTCACCATGTGCTGATCTCATTTCTTCAGAGGAAGCCTTTGACTTAGACAGTTTTCCAAAACTCAGCTGAGTAAATTTTTTGCGAAACAGATGGAAGTTACATGACCCCACCGTGTGGTCTGCAACTCTTTCATATATTTGGGGTGAAAAAAGCTGCTCTGAAGTATCCTGTCATTCCTAAGCTCCCTGGGTTCAGATTTGTTTTTATGCTAAGCAAAAACAAAATCTCAGGCTTAAAATTTATTCTGCTGTAGGGAATATAGTGTTAGCTAATCACCTCCAAAGTTCTCCAGCCACTGTCAATTTTCCAAGGTTCTCAGAGGCCACCAAGGACCCTTAGCATCAGATTTTAACTGCAAACCCCGGAGGGTGGACATTGCTCAGCTGCAGGCTCTGGAAATCACTGGAGTTGATGATTAGGTGAGGCTTAGCCATCCCACTTCAAATGGTTTCATGTTTCCCAAGTCTTGTAATTAAGTTTAAAAAATCATACCAAGAAAGTAAAGAAAATCAGGGACAGAAGGCGCATACTTGCCTCTCTTGGGTTATCATGTATTCACATCTACTTCTATCATGCTGAAAGCTCCCTGCAACAGGAATTCATGGCCCCCAGCTAATTTCTATTGAATAAGTACACAAACCACAAGTATCAGCATTTTAAGTGGCCCTATATGATACCCCTGGTAATTTCAGCAGAGACCAGTAGCTGAATGGGGGCACTGGGGAGAATCTCTGTGCTCAGAGGTGGCTCTTCCTCGGAGATGCACAGAAGCAGAAGTAAAACAATGGACCCACACCAGTGCCACATGCTGCTCAAGGGTGGGCATGGCAGCAGCTTGCAGTGATGCTTATTTGCATGAAAAGGTAAATGGACTCACATCGTTCTCTGAGGTCCCACAAAGGCTGCAGGATTTGCACTCAATGCATTGCCACTGATAGGTTTTAACAGCCTCAGTCATGTTTGTGGTGAACTGCAGGCAGGTCGGGTGTCCTGAGGAAGATCGGAAACAACGGTCATTGTTAAGGCTCACTTATTGCTTGTTAATTAACCGGTATTAAATTTGGGAACAAAACACACATGGACATGGACTGATCACAACATGGGCTGCAACTAACAGATACCAAAGAGGAAAGCAGGCATTAACCCTTTCGCTGCCGGGCACAAGAGAAAATCAGAGTCATCTCCACCCCATCGGCAAAGCAGTTTTATTCAGAGCTCTTAAAAATGGTTTGGCTTTGAGTTGGTTTTTGTGGGGATTTTTTTTTAAAGGAAACAAGAAAAAGCATGAAATCAGAAACAAACCAAATTTCAAAGAGAGACCATCCGTCTTAATAGAAATTGGACTACAGTTTCAATTAGCGTTGTTTCGACCGGAACGAAGGACCTGGTGGAAATGAGGTTATTCTCCATTTCACAGCTTCCTTTCCTGGTGTCCAAATGGGTGGAGCAATTCTGTAAACTTTGCTTAAATGGAAGCAGTAGCGTACAGAGAAGACGCAAGACGGGATGGAAGGATATAGCTTTTAATTTTTTTTTTAAGAGCTCTGCCACTAAAGTTGGTTGGCACAGAAGAAACCAAATTGCACAGCTAACCTTCCAGGATCAAAACAGGAAACCGAAAGGAAAAAAAATCCCAAGCCAATTCCCACAATGAACTAAATGAAAGGAATAAAGAAGGGAAAGCTAGCAGAACAGTCACATCTAATCGGGAAGGACAAATTGCCAGAGTTACAACCCCCGCCCCTACATGCGTGTCGACTTCAGCTTTGCAAAACAGCGGTATCACAGTAGCAGGGTCAGCAATGGGCTTTCTGGAGGGGAAAATACAAACAAACAAACAAACCAAAGGTAGGATCAGTGTTGCTTCTGCAAAACAAAACAAGACAAACACACCGCTGAAATAAAGTACTGTACTCCCAAACCACCCTTACCTGGCTGAGACATTGCCTAAGTCTCCTGCAATAAGCTCCTGCCTGCCTTCTTGGAAAGCCCCACATTTAGAATCCTTCTCTGACACACTTAAACATTAACACTGTGCATAGTCAGGGCAGGGAGAGTCAATTGCTCATCTGCAGAAACACTAGGAACACAGGTATGCACATCTTGCACTGTTGCCTGTTTCTTCTAGAAACTGGCACCATAAGTTGTGTGGGGCTTTTCACCTCTACCCAGTCTGCTGTTCTTAGACTACAACCAATGGACTGGAAAAAATCTTTTCCACTTCCACCAGCCTAAGTGCCTTTTTAAGAGTGGAGAAAGAAAGGCTGTTTCTCCAATAAGAAAAAAAAGGCATGTCTATGGTAAATGTGGGCACAGATGTGTCATCTTCATTGCCACACCTATCAGCAATATTTTACTGTGTCATCACAGCAGCCATCACCACCATACAAAAAGTTTCTGTATATTCCAGCTAGTGAAACAAACAGTTGCTGTGAATTGCTGAATAAGGAAGTAATGCTGTAGGGGATATATTTCTTTTATGTGTCCATGATACCACCAAATGCTGTAATAAGAATTTTTGTTCTCCAGTTATATTTGCGTGGTTGTGATACAACAACTAAACCTGTCCAGCAAAGAAATGTATATGCATATTTATTAAAGAAATTTAATAGAAAATAAAGGCGATATTTAGAGAAGGAGGGATCAATGAAATTGCTCATGACACTCTTAAGCCTTTGAATAATGAAACATCTTGACAATACTGATGAGCTCAGATGGGCTAAGAAGATCACAGGGTTTTGGAGCCCTTGAAATGTCAGCACAAAAAATAGTGACAGTTTTTAACTGAGATTTACAATGGACCAACTAAAATACTGGGGGCCCTGAAACTGCAACTAAGCAAAAGGAGATGTGACAAGATACCTTTTCTTGCTGAGAGGACCACATATACTTTCTGATACTACCAAACTAGCAGAACCTGACATGACACTGAAATGTTCCTCCAGATCTGATTTACATTGAATGCAAACCTTATTCCAACACCAGTAAATAGAACAAATGTGCCATGCTACACATCAGGGAGGAATTCATCCCAAAAGCAGAGAGTTGCTTCCAGAAATGTTGTACAGTGCTGGAATATATCACAGAAAACAACTCATATAGGGAGGTGAATTAATCAGAGAGTTAAATAGCTTCAGTCACATTTGAAAAGAAACAGAAAGAATGGAATCAAACTTACAGAAATAAATCCCAGCTAAATACATGCACATCTTCACATGCTCATTTGCCTGTGCATACACATTGCTCATTGCAGAGAGTCCAGCTGAGGACCCTCCCTTTCTAACACAACATGAGGGTCAGGTCCTGTTCACTATTTTATCTCTGTCCCTTTATAGCCATTCCTGCTCTCATTTGCCTCAAAAACACCTCTGCAGGTCTCCTGTGTGGCATCTCACATCAGTGGTGCTTCATCCTTGAAGTGATACATCCTACCTATATTGCAGAGCACTTCTTAAGAACCACACCTACCACAAGCCTAAAAGAAATGGTCTCCTGTGGGTTGAGGATTCCTTAGAAAAATTAGGAATAGAGCGAGGGCCACAGTGGTTTCTTTCTAGTAGCAAGGCAGAAGTATTTTGCGAGAACATACCAATTCATTCACTCCAATAGGCTCTCTCTCCAGGTACTGTGACTACAAGAGTAGAGTCTGCATAGCTGCAGGTTGCTCTCTGCTAGCCCAGGGCTTATACCATGTGTAAGGTAAAAAGAATGTCTTTCTTCAGCCTTTAAGTCACATGCTCTTTCACATTAAACAACATTCCTTGTGGTACCATGACCCCAAGTTAATGTCATTGGAAAGACTATTTTTACTTATGCTATCAGCATGGTGAGGCGCTGTAGTATATGGCAAGCATGCCACCAGATACTCAAAATATTAAAATTCTTTTTCCTTTCCTCCCTGGTTTCTCCTTCTTCGTGATCTCTTTCTTTTCCTGCTACTTTGGTTCAAAACCTAGTGTTTTACATGATATGAGAAAATTCACACATCCAAGACTTCCTGAGGCAGTGTTAGTGAACACCATCCCTGCTCCATATCACAGAACTTCTTAGCATTCCTTCTGTGTCAGAATACCTGAACACAAAGTCCTGTAGCTGCATGTGGCAAGCTACTACAGGTAGATTCAAATTCCCTTTCTTTTTTCCTTAAAAATAAAAAGGCAACTTCAGGCCACAATTTTCTTTTACACACAGAGCAGTCCAAAATGTGATTCAAGTTACAGACACTGTGGTAGCACACAAGCCAGAGAGCTGACAGTCTTCTTGCTATGTGTTTGAGATGGAGAAGCAGTCTTATTTCACCTAATTGTGTGATGAACAGTGTTTGCTCTGGCTAAGGTGCGCAGCAGAGTCTGCAGCTGAAACCCAGTTAATAATTCAGGTGGTGGCTCCACCCTGGCAAACCCTGGGTCACTCTCACCAGTCTGTATCAGCTCTGCAGATCTAATAGGGAGAGGAAGTAACACATATTTATGGTGTCACCGAAGTCAATAGACAGACCTCTAAAATACACCCTGGGAGCAGTTCTGTTGAAGGAGAAGGCAATATGTTAACATTGACGGTTTCTAATCTACCATAACTATTCTCTACCTAAACTTCTGCTATGCTGCAATAGCTATAAACAACAGACAGAGACAATAAAACTTGCAGTGAGCTTTTAAACAGCTCATCCCTTTGTCCTAAAAACAATATTTTAAGGTGTACATCAGGTATGAAAGCTCCCTCATCTTTGTCAAAACTCTCCTCTGGATCTGAACTTTGAGACTGAGGCCATATTTTATAGTGACATCAGTGTTTCACATGCCACTGGCTTTAATTGTACATTATGTCCACCAGACAGCTGGTCAGAGAAGCAGAGAGGTGAGCACATTCAGAGACTATTCCTTGTATCCTGCACCTGCTACAATTGCAGGTTGATGGGGAGGATAATTTTAACATAAATACCCTAAAAATATCCAAAAATCTCTTCTGCTTACACTGCTTGTATAACACTAAAGACCAAAACTGACATTAAAGGGCAGGAGCAATCTGCTGCTTCCAGTCGCTCTGTGACCAGTGAAGGCCTTAGAACGGCTCATTAGTGCTTTTTCAATAATGGATTCTGCATTGCAAGATTAATTGCAGCCATGTGCTCTGTCACACCCGCCACAGACTATTTAAGTTAACAATCCAATCAATAACCTCTTCCAAACAAAGGCAGAGATTATCTTGAGGGGAAAAAATAAGCAAATACTCTTTTTTAAAAACAAATGTGAAATTATTTATACAGAATAAAAGGAATTTTTACCCAATTATTTCCATTATCTTCACAGTGTAGTGGTGGGCTTTTTAATCAATAGTGTGATGAAAACTCACTGGCCTCCTGGCTATATTGCATCAGATTTATTCCATAAACTTTCAGGTCTTTAAACAACTATAAATACATATTACAGATATAATGGCCTATGTCACAGGAGCCCCATCCATATAATGGAAGTTTACATGCAAAGAAAATGCATAATTTCCTCCTGCTAAGATTGAATAAGGTTTCTTGTGGCCACTACCATCATTAGACAGAATTATTACCATTACCTGTACAAAAGAAGGGAAACTTGTCATTGTAATAAGTGACATAATTTTATGGTTATGATTTAAAAATATACCCTTCATTTGTCTGTCAAGAAGGCTTGCTTACAGATATACAGTGTCAACAATTCGGATTAGAAAAGGCCCTTTAAAACTCAGACTATCCAAGCACACTGAAGAACCTGGCTCTGTCAGAACCCCAGTGCTCAAGAATCTGCAACTCTCAGAAAAAACCAAACATTCCTGAGGATGTTGGGGAGCTCTTGGCATTTCCTGGCCCTTCCCATCTTGCACTGTGAAAGTGTTGCAGTGTAGAGACATATAGATAAATATGTCAAATAGAGGTACTCATGAACAGAAGCCTTCAAAAGTGTTCATGGGGTGAGGATCCAAAGCACCATCTGCCACACTATCTCTATGATATGGAG